TTTTTTTTTTTGTAAATTGTAATATATGAAATTTTTTAGGAAGTGATATTCAACATCGTGGTACACAATTATTAGAAATTTATGCATTAGAAATTCAAATGCATACATCACAAAAAAATAATAAAAAACTTAAACAATTATATGAAGCTTCATTACATATTAAATCAGCTATTCCACATCCACTTATAATGGGTTTGTTTGTTTGTTTCGTTCGTATTTTTTTAATTTAAAAAAAAAATAATATTTTAGGTGTTATACGAGAATGTGGAGGTAAAATGCATTTACGTGAACAAGAATATGAAAAAAGTCATACAGATTTTTTTGAAGCATTTAAAAATTATGATGAATCAGGTTCACCACGTCGTATAACATGTTTAAAATATCTTGTTCTTGCTAATATGCTTATGCGTTCAACAATAAATCCATTTGATTCTCAAGAAGCTAAACCATATAAAGATAATCCTGATATTCAAGCAATGACAAATCTTATTAGTGCTTATCAAAATAATAATATAAAAGAATTTGAAATTATTTTAAGTAAAAATCATAAAACAATTATGAATGATCCATTTATTCGTGAACATATTGAAATACTTTTACGTTCAATACGTATGAAAGTTTTAATTAAATTAATAAAACCATATACAAAAATACGTATTCAATTTATTGCACAAGAATTAAATATTGATATTAATGAAGTTATTAATTTATTAATATCATGTATACTTGATCAAACTATATTAGGTAAAATTGATCAAGTTAATCATGTACTTGAACTTGATCAACAACAAAATATTCAAGATTTACATCGTTATCAAGCTATTTCAAAAGTTACTTTACAATTACAAACTATGCAACAAACAATTCTTCAACAATTTAAGTGATTTCATTTTTTTGTAGATTTAAATATTATTTTTGCTATTTTTAAATCAAGATAAAATATTCTTGTATGTTATGAATTTGCAAATAATAAATACATTATTCAAACATTTTGTTTTTGTTCCTCTTATTTTTTTTCTTGATTAAAAATCAAGAGCAAATAATGGTGCGGTTTTGTTTTTCTTTTTCTTATCTTTCTATTCAGTATTCCAACAATTTCAAAAACATTTATATAGCAAATAATAATAAAAAAAAGTATAATCATGCTGTTACTCAACTTTTTATTTGACTCTATCATTTATTCACAGATAAAAGTTATAACAGATATTTTTTTTTTATTCTAATGTCAAGTACATACTATTATCAGATGTTTACATGAAGGGTTGCTACAGATGTTTTTGCCTATTGACTTTTTTTCAGGGCGTTGCTTTTGTATGAGAAAAAAAAAGAACGCAATTCATCAAAACAAAAATTTTCTGTTGCTCACTATAAATGATATTATCAACAAATTAATTCTTAGGTACATCTACTATTTTTTGTCTTTATTTTAAATTTTATATAAGAAGACATAGTCGAATGATTATTATTCTTCTTGTTTTTCATGAAGTTTCTTCTTCACCTTTACATTTGCGTTTTTTTTTTTTTGTTTTTTCTCACAAGAAACAATATGATACACGCTGTGTGCTGACATGGTTATACGCCTAATCGGACATGTACTATCGAAAAAGAAAAAGAGAAAAAAAAAATATAACGCAAAAAAAAACGACTAAGTGGGTGCTTTTGTTTTTTTTTTTGTTATATATTCGTTTAATCGTCATTTTTGTTCTTATATTATTTGAATTGGTTAGAAAATAGATCTACATAATGAATGATAATTCTGCAAGCGAAAATGTGCTATCAGTACATGGCAAATCAGATATATCTCATCTTCATGATTGGCAACGTGCTATGAAGGTAAGCAGAATTTTATTTTTCAATATTATTGAAAGTTTAGAAATAAAAATTTTAAATTGAAATTATTATTCATATCTTTTTATCAGCATAAGCATCAACAAAATATCGATTACTTATTTTAAATTATCATTGATTCGTTTTTATTCAGGCGTGCACATCAATATAAACAGCAGTAGATGGATTGTAAAAATATAATTTTGAAAAATAAAAAAATACATTTATTTACATACTGTTTTCGACAAAAAAAAAATTCTATTACATATTGTTCACATCTATCATAGGTAGGTATATTTTAGAAATGTGCATGAAATAAACTTCCACTATTTGAACCAATCATAAATCGAACTGTAAGTGTGTTTATTTGATGCAGTAAGACCTTGAGGAGTGTGCGATTCACAATACGTCACTTGTTTCTTTCTCGTTCTCATATAGTTGTATTACAATATTTTCTTATAGAATACATAGATCGCACACATTTTTAGTTCATAAAGTAATGCAATACAAAAAAATAAATATTATTTTTTTCTATTCATTATTAAAGAATATAAATAATCTGAATATAATAAAAAAATGCAATGTATAAAATTAAATAATAAAAATGGTTGTTTTTCTTCTTGTTTACATTTTTATTTAGATGCATCTACGTGGTAGACTGAAAGATGAATTAAAACAAAGTAATTCAAAAAGTCGTGCACTGTACCAACATCAAGCATTTGCTGAAACAGCTGTTAATGCTCTTGAACAACGTACATTACTTGATGTTGATTCTGAACCGTAAATAAAAAAATAAATTTTTGAAATAATTTTCTATGTATATATATATATATATTAATTTAGATGGAATACTCGTCATACGAGTATAGTTTGTACATTGGGTATGTATAAAATAAATTTATAAATTATATGAAAATTTTCGAAAAATTTTAGGACCTGCATCACAAAGTGTTGAAATGATTTCAAAAATGATTGAAGCTGGAATGAATATTGCACGACTAAATTTTTCACATGGTTCATATGAAGTAGAAGAATGAAAAAAAAAGTTTTTATTTGAATTATTCATGTCTTTTTTTGTTTAGTATCATCAAACAAGTATAGATAATGTTCGTGCTGCTGAAAAACTTTTTGTAGACAATGGTAAAATGAGGACTGTTGCTATTGCATTAGACACAAAAGGCCCAGAAATTCGAACAGGTGTACTCGCTGCCGTAAGATAATATTAATTTGAACGATATTGAAAAAAAAAAAAGAAAATATTCAAATCATTTAAGGGCATTAATAGTGAACTTGATTTACAAATTGGAATGACTGTTCGCTTGACAACAGACGAAATATATGAAGATAAATCTACAACTGATAATTTATATGTTGATTATAAGAATATAACTCGAGTTATAAAAAGTGGTAATCGTATTTATATTGATGATGGTCTTATTTCATTAGTCGCTAAAGAAGTTGGTTAGTAAATTTAATTGTTTTTTTCTTGGATCGATATGATGTTTGTTTTTTTTTAAGGAGAAAATTATATTGTATGTGTAGTTGAAAATGGTGGATTATTAAGCAGTCGTAAAGGTGTAAATTTGCCTGGTATTCCTGTTGATTTACCAGCTGTGTCAGTAAAAGATAAAGAAGACCTTGAATTTGCTGTGAAAAATGATGTAAGAAAACGAACAAATTTGAATTGATATATATCAAATTTGATTTATTTATTATAGTTAGATATGGTTTTTGCGAGTTTTATTCGTGATGCTGATTGTGTTCGTGAAATACGTAAAACACTCGGTGAAAAAGGCAAAAATATGAAAATTATTGCTAAAATTGAAAATCATCAAGGAATTCAAAAGTTTGAAAAAAAAAAGAAATATTTCACTAAATAAATAAATCTTGTTTTTTTTTAATAATTAGTTTTGATTCTATACTTGAAGAAGTTGATGCTGTTATGGTTGCACGTGGTGATATGGGTATTGAAATTCCACCACAAAAAGTATTTGTTGCACAAAAAATGATGATTGCAAAATGTAATCTAGCTGGTAAACCAGTTATTTGTGCTACACAAGTAAATCTTTTTTTCTTTTTTTTATTAATATTAAAATTAATTTCAATATGAACTTTTTCTTTTTTTTAAATTAGATGTTAGAAAGTATGATTAAAAATCCTCGTCCAACACGTGCTGAAGTTAGTGATGTTGCTAATGCTGTTTTGGATAATGCTGATTGTATTATGTTATCTGGTGAAACAGCAAAAGGAAAATATCCTGTACAATGTATTGAATTAATGCATCAAGTTAGTAGAATATTATTATTGATTTAATATTCGATAATACAACATCTGTTTGTTTTTATGAAATATTGAAAATAAATATAATCTATATTTAGATTGCTCGAGAAGCTGAAGCATGTTTATTTCATCGTGAACTTTTTGAAAATCTTCGTTATTTTACTAAACCACCATTGGTAATATAAACAATAATACTTTTTATTATATCTCATTGTTTTTATTTTGTTTATTAAGGATCAAATGCAATCGACAGCTATTGCAGCAGTTGAAGCAGCTTTTCGAAGTTTTGCTTCAATTATTGTCGTTCTCACTCATTCGGGAAAGTAATATAATCATAAAAATTTATTAATATGAAAAACAAAAATCATGACATTTTTTAATAGATCGGCACATCTTATTTCTAAATATCGTCCACGAGCAGTAGTTATGGCAGTCACTCGATCAAGATATACAGCTAGACAAATACATTTATATCGTGGTTGTTGTCCTGTTTATATCGAGGGTAAATACTATCATAAAATAACGAATAAAAATCTTCCCTTTAATCGATCTTGACTATTGTATGTGTTGCAAATTTCATTGATCCTTTCAAAGACTATACCAGAGGATGGAATCGATCTAAATTTTTGACTATCGATACCACTACCGGTTCTATCTTTGAACTATACTCATTTTGCTGCAACCATTTTTGTACAGAGAAATCATTTACTATCCATTTGAGATTAATGAAATGATTTCAAACTATCTCTACAGCACTGCCAATGACCGAGATCAATTAGAGTGGAGGCTTTTATCCACTACTATATTATTAAATGATTTCTTTGTTTTTCTTTTAGGTACACAATGTAAGTAATCTCTTTTATTTTTTTTTTTGTTTTTTAATTTGATTGGTATGTTGAGTAATTATACTGCTCTGCTTATTTTTCTTCTCTATTTAATTAGCAATATCTCAGGAATTTAAAAATGATAGTAAGTTAATTGAAATGAATATATACTAAATCGAATTTTCTTAAAAACACTCTGCACATTATGGTCTGAGTTAAATCTCACGTCACTAATTTGATCTTAAACTAAAAAACAAAAAAAAAAAAAAAGAAATTGTATTTTTTTTTTATTCGATATACATTTCGAAGAATAAATTTAGGTCTTGAAGTCGAAGCAGATGTTGAATTTAAACAACATAATATTTCAACATCTCAAGCATTAGCTATGAGTGATTGGTTAATTGATGTTGATACACGCGTTAATGAAGCAATTAGATTTGCAAAAGAACGTGGTTTTTGTTCACCAGGTGATGCTGTAATTGTTGTTACAGGATGGGTAAATATTCATTTTGTTTATATTCGAATAATTTTTATTTAATTCGTCTTTTTTTGTTTTTTTACTTTTTATTCTAGCGTCCCGGTCATGGTACAACAAATACATTACGTATTATATATGCCGATTAAATAACTAATTCCGTATATAGACATGTTTTCCGTTAGTGCCCCGTTTCTTTTTTTTTTTCGAAATACATTTTTCCGTTGATATTTATTTTTATATCTTGTTCTTTTTTTTTCTTAACGATTATATTATCAGCATTTAGAAATAGTTAAAGAAAACTAATAAAATGAATGTAGATGA